ATATGTATTTCTGAGATGTATTTGATATATTTCCCCAAATATTGTTGTTACAGAGTGCATATTACGGCTGCGGAGGACAAAAATAACAAATCGGATGAACAATATATATGGGAGCTATAGCTATATCTGAACCGATTACGATCAAATTTGGCACACTTATTTTCATGCCTAATTTGGTTGTATGTGCAAAATTCCATACTATTCGCGCTGGTATTACACGTTTGGTGCACAATAAAAGGCAAATCGGACGAAGATATATATGGGAGCTATATCTAAATTTTGACCGATTATCTCCAATTTCAATAGGGTTCGTCCTTGGGCCAAACAAATGATTTGTGCAAAATTTCATCTGGATAGGGCAATAAATGCGAACTGTACTTTGTTTACAAAAATACATGGACAGACGGACGGACGGACGGACATGCATAAATCGACTCAGAATGTGATTCTATGCAGATCATCAAAAGGAACTATGGGTCTATCTCGTTTCCTTTTGCCTGTTACAAACAAATGCACAAGGACATAATACCCTGACCACCTTGTGGTGTAGGGTTTAAAAACATTAAGTTCGGTTGGACCGAACTTTTAATACCCTGGGTAAAGGAAACATTTTGATATAAAAGTATCTGAATTTAAACGTGTTCCACTTTAAACACAATTTACCAGTAAGGATAATAACGTTTGGATAATGCAGCTAAACTTAACAAAAACAAATTAAAGAGCACTAAATTCGACCGGGCCGAAGTTTGAATACCCTCCACCATTTGGATAATAAAATAAACAAGTAAAAAAGCTGTAAGTTTAACTTTTAATACCCTCCATCATTTGGTACAAATTTGGCATTTTCTAATAAATAAAATCCGTTAAAAATTCTGTTAAAATCTTAAGAATACCGAATGCTTATACGACGACGTGGGCCAGCATAGGCAACTTTTGTCATAATTTATTACACTATTTAAATGCGAAACTTGAAGAAAAATCTGTTTATAATGTAGCTAATATCATTAAAATACCGAATATGGGGGGTACCGTTATATGGGGGCTATACGAAGACATGGACCTGCACAAACAATTTTCTGGCATGGGCTGAAGTATCCATTCCGAAATTCACATGCGAAATTTGAAACAATCCCGGTAAATAATGTCGCTAAAATCATCAAAATACCGAATATCGGGGGGTACGGTATATGGGGCTATATGAAGACGTGGACCTATATGGCCCATTTTCTGTTTTATGCTGCAGTATCTATTACGAACTTCAAACACCAAATTTGAAACGATTTCTCTGAATAATTTCGCTAAAATCATCAAAATACCGAATATCGGGGGGAACCGTTATATGGGGGTTATATGAGGAAATGGACCTACATGGCTCATTTTTTGTCTTAGGATGTAGTATCAATTACGAACTTCAAATACCAAATTTGAAACGATTCCGGTAAACAAGGTCGCAAAAATCATCAAAATACCGAATATCGGGAGGTACCGTTATATGGGGCTACACGAAGACATGGACCTGCACAGATAATTTTCTGTCTTAGGCTGTAGTATTCATTACGAACTTCAAATGCCAAATTTGAAACAATTCCGGCGAATAATGTCGCTAAAATCATAAAAATACTTAATATCGGGAGGTACAGTTATATGGGGGCTATATGATAACTTGGACCTACATGGCCCATTTACGAACTTAACTTGCCTACTGGCAAAATATACATGTGTGCAAAATTTTAGCCTTCTATCTCAATTTGTTCGAAAGATAGCGTGATTACAACAGACAGACAGACGGACAGACAGACAGACACACAGACGGACATGGCTAAATCGTCTTAGAATTTTACGCTGATCAAGAACATATATACTTTGTTGGGTCTGACATGAGTATTTCGAGGAGTTACAAACGGAATGACAAAATTAATATACCCTCCATAATATGGTGGAGGGTATAAAAATAGAATCCGTTAAAGATTTTGTTAAAATCGTAAAAATGCTGAATAAATGGAGTTACCGTCAGTTTGGGATCACAGGCTGTAGTACCCATTACGAAGTACAAATACGAAATTTAAAACAATTCCGGAGAATAATGTAGCTAAATTCATCAAAATCATACAGTTATATGGGAGCTATAACAAAACGTGTACCTATATAGTTCATTTTAAATACTAAAAGTCCTGCGGACGAAATCTACTTCAATTCGTTCGGTAGCTAGAGTGGTTTCCATAGACGTACGGTCATCGTTAAATCGACATAGAATTTTAGGCTGATCAAGAATATATATACTTTATGGGATCTACGATGCATATTTAGGGATGTTTCAAACGGAATGACATTGTTAATATACCCTCCCTTTCTTGATATGAATCGTTAATTCAGTTCTTTAGTCTAAAATAAATGATATGCATTATCGATTTTTATATCCTTCGTTTTGGAAAGGAGGGTATGTGCCTAGGATGGTTGGCATTGAAAATGAGATATATCGGTCCAAATTTGGTATTGTACCCATATAACGAACGGTACCTTTCGATATTCAGTATTTTGTTGATTTTTGCACATTTTTCCACGGATTTGTATAAAAATTAGTATTTGTAGGTCATAATGGGTTCTTTCTCGTTTGGCGAAACATTGTATGTATAGGTCCACGTTTGGTATAGCCCCCATATAACGGTACCTGCCGATATTCGATATTTTGATAAAAATTGGTATTTTTAGTCATAATGGGTTCTAGCCCGGTGGCAGAACATTGAATATTTTGTTCTACGTTTTCCTATAGCGCACATATAACGATACCTACCGATATTGGGTATGTTGATAATCCTAGTCACATTTACCCGCATAATTGTTTCAAATTTGGTATTTTAGAATATTTGATAGATGGCAATCCTTGAAGTATAAAATTGTCTGAAGATGTTCCCGTTTTGGTATGGCCCCATATAACGGCCTCACTCACTTCATGGTTTTTGATGATTTTAACTGCATTATTCAAAAGGTCTTACAGGTGTATGAAGTTTAAAGTGAAACACGCTTGAACTCAGATGCTTTTATATAAAAACTAGCTGAACCCGGTGCGCTTCGCTACCCCTTTTAATTTTATATGCATTCAAAATTTTATTTACGAATATATGTTGGTTAAAAAAAAACAAATTTCAAAATTAAAGAAAAAATTATTGCACTACTTTTATGCGTAAATAACCAAAACCATTAGAAAAGCAGTAACATGACATACATACACGAAGGGTTTGTCCTTCGGATTTATTTATTTATGTAACTGCAATCTTTTGAAGTTGAGTGGCATTACTATTGCAATTAGTGAATTCGAGATAGCAACATACTTCGCCGTAATAAGCGTATTTCAAATCAATTGTTGTGTTGTTTTTTAGTGTTAGCCTAAGGCGTTGTGGGTCAATGGTTGTTATTAAAATCATATCCCAATCTGATCCGATTTAAATATAATTTAAAAAAATTACTTTTACACCAAACTCCGCCACACCTTTCATATTTCATTGAAATTGGTGCGTCAAATATGTGAAATCGGCCGATAATATATATATATATATATATGGGAGCTTTATCCAAATCTTAACTAATTTCCAATTAATTTGTCACATTTATTATTGTAGTCAAATTCCGTCACACATTCTGAATTTCATTGGTATCGGTCGTATATATCATGTTTGGTGCATAACATGTATGAAATCGGCCGAAATATATATGTTAGCTATATCCAAACCTCAACTGATTTCAATATAATTTGGAATATGTAACGGGATTTTGTCTCTCTCGCTTTGGGTGCATCAAATATGTGAAATCGGCTTAGTATATATATGGGAGCTATAATCAAATCTGAGCGTATTTGAATATAATTTGTCAAATTTAAACCGATTTTAATATAATTTGACAAATGTATATTTGTTTTAATTTCCGCTACAACTTCCAAATTTCATTGAAATTAGAGATACATAGCGCGTTTGGTGCATCAAATACATGAAATCGGTCGAAAATATATATGGGAGCTATATCCAAATCTGAACCGATTTCAACTTAATTTGACAAATTCATTTTGGCTCCCGATTCCGTTACTTATTTTAAATTTCATTACAATTGGAAATACATACCGTGTTTGGTCCACCAAATACATGAAATCGGCCGAAAATATATATCCAAATCTGAACCGATTTCAATATAATTTAGGAAATCAATTTTTTAGATAAAATCTATCACACGTTTCAAATTTCATTGAAATTGGGGATACATAGCGTGTTTGGTGCATCAAATGCTTGAAATCGGCCGAAAATATATATGGGAGCTATATCCAAATCTGAACCGATTTCAATATAATTTGACAAATTTATTTTCGGATTAAATCCCGTCACACATTCCAAATTTCATTGGAATCGAACCTTCATATTGTGTTTGAGACATCAAATGAACGAAATCTTTCGAAAATATATATGGGAGCTATATCCAAATCTGAACCGATTACAATATAATTTGGCAAACTTATTTTTGTTCCAAATTCCGTTACGTATTCCAAATTTGGAGACTGTATCTTCAACCAATCAATAGATATGTGCATATAAAATCTAAATTTTTGGGAGGTACCTCCGATTCTGATGCTATATCTCCAGTTCCAAGTGGAAATTCAAAAATGTATATAGCCTATGTTATTTTCAGGCGATGTTGCAGTATATATGGAAATTTTCAGGAAAATCTATTCAGCGGTTTTCGAGTCCATAAATTACAAACAAACAAACAAACAAACAAACAAACCTACAAACATTTTCCTCTTTTATAGATATAGATTTTTTCTTTACCCCTCCTTTTTACTTGTTAATTTGAATATGGCAAGGTGAATTCAGTAAACTTGACGAAGAAATTTGGTATGAACTTTAGCTTATCTGACAGTTGATATTTAAATGAAACTCGTAATGACAAAAAACGATTTATTTGTCAGACAACATCACTTGTTAAAGTATCAGGACATAAGAGATTCGAATACTTACATGTGAGCTACTCGAAGCAGGATCGGTTACATTGTGCATTCTTGAATTGGAATTCTTATATGAAATCGGTAGATTTTCCAGAGAACAATTAACATCGATATATTCGATGTCTTCGTTGACACTAAATGGACGCAATGGTAAATCTTCAGTATTTGCAGCAGCAGCTTCTTTTCCTTTTGGTTTTGCGGAATTTGCATTCAACTGAGGGACTGACTCATTCGGGCGAATATTTGTGGCTGGAGGTGGTGAGGCCGGTGCAGTCGACGCCTTCGACGCGGGATCCCTTGTACGAAATGCAGCTTTTCTTACCAAATAGAAAATTCGAGCATAACAGAATACGATACAAAGGCACGGCACCATAAAGGCCAACACGAAGAGAAATTCCTTCGGTGTGTGACCGTTATTATCTGGCAATATGGAGCAGGAGCCAATAGAAATGTCAAGTCCGAACTTTCCCCATATACCGCGCCAGGTGGGTATCATAATGGTGAAACTTAACAGCCAAGTGCCCAGGACCATGAGAGCCAAGTATCGTCGTTGATATATTCTGGAAGAGAAGTTAAGATCGCGCGTTGGCAAATGATTTGATTAAAAGTGAAAATTAGAAGATATACACATGCAGTACAGATTCCATTATAAAAATCTCTTAAAGCAAATCCATGACACAGTTAACAATGTAATCTCATTTGCCAAATCGGCATATTGGAACTCATCTATAATTTCCATATTATTTAAAAGTTTGCTCCATGATTATTTACGCAGGACGAGTGACACATTTCTCGTTAAGTTAAACAATAAACAAATATTCCTTTTTTAGCTTGTCTGCAGTGGAATTCTCCAACTCATTTTTGAGTTACCGACAAAAGTCGGTAAGATTAGAATGCTAATAATTTCGGTAATTAACGAAATTTGTCGGTAAAACCTACCGATAGATACCAATGTTGTCAACTTCAACTTATTTTTTACCCTCCACCAAACATAGTTTTAAGTTCGTCATTCCGTTTGTAACTCATCGAAATAATCATTTTAGACATAACAAAGTATATATATTCTTGATCAGCGTAAAATTCTAAGACGTTCGTCCGTCCCTCTGTCCGTCTGTTGAAATCACACTAGAGTCAAAACAAATTGAGATAGGAAGCTAAAATTTTGTAGAGGTCGGTCTTTTGTCTGCAGGCTGGTCAAGAACGATCGGTCCACGATATCATATTGCCCCCCATATGCTGGTCCACGTCTTCGTATGGACCCCAATATAACGGCGACTTCCTATATATTTTAAGGATTTTATATATTTTTAAGATTTTAACAGAATTTTTAACGAATTTTATTTTATTATTTTTTTTGAAAATTTCCAAATGCGTTCCAAAAGGTGGAGGGCATTCAAAGTTCGGCCCGGGCGAACTTACTTTTTTTTTACTTGTTTATATCAAAATTTTGGGTATCAAAATTACCGATTTTTGTCGGTAAATCAAAAAATGGGTTGGATAATCCCAGTACTGATCAGGTCTTTTTATCGGCTAATGGATAATTTTAATATTCCCTATTATACAGTGTGAGATGAAAAAGCTGCAACCATCTACAGACTGCTGTCATTTCCAAACCACTCGTCCGACAGCTGTTAAAAATATTCCAGTGACAGCTCATTATATTGTTTAGAAGTATACAAAAGCATTTTGGTGAGAATTTTCCGGACAAAAAGTTATTCGCTCGTAGTAATTGACCGTTGCATAGGAAAAAATGCCGAATATTATCGCGAAAATATTCTGGAGGGTGTATTAAAGCCTTGGGCACGCAAACATTTCGACCGAACATTTGACCTTGGACATTCCAACAGGACTCAGCACCATCGCACTCAGCACGCGCCACCCAGGAATGGTTACAAAATGATGGTCCTGCTTCATTTCCAGCGCACAATGGCCAGCAAAATATCTTGATACCAATCCGTTGGACAATTGCGTCTGGAGTATTTTGGAAAGCAAGGTTGGCACTGAAAATACCAAGTGTCGATCATCTCAAACAAGCGCTTCGGGCAGCGTGTGGCGGTTTCATTGGCCGTTTGAAGGTCATAATTCGTGCCAAAGGTGACCAATTCGAACAAATCTAAACTTATTCAGAAGTTTGATGCTATTTCTGACATTTTTTGATTTCATTCAATAAAATAAAAAAAAAGTCGGGCGGGGCCGACAATATGATACCCTACACCACTTTGCTAATTTAGTAGAACTCCACATGAAAATTAAAAGTTTTCATGGGAGAATTCAAGCATAAACGCTATGATTATAATTATAATTTAAAGTTCAAAGGAATTAAATTAATTGGTGCACAATTAATTTGATATCGTATAAAGATATATATGGGAGCAATATCCAAATCGGGACCGATCTCGATAAAATTTGGCAAAGATATTTCTGAGCTGTATTTGATATATTTCCCTGAATATCGTTGTTAGGGAGTGTATATTACGGCTGTGGGTAACAAATATAACAAATCGGATGAACAGTATATATGGGAGCTATAGCTACATCTGAACCGATCTTCACCAAATTTAACATACTAGCTTCTAGACTCAATTCGGTCGTAAGTGCCAAATTCCATCCCATTTGGACAAATATTAGACGTTTGGTGCACAATAAAAGGTAAATCGGACGAAGTTATATATGGGAGCTATATCCAAATCTGAACCGATCTCGATAAATATTAGTAAATGTATTTCTGAGCTGCATTTGATATATTTTCCCAAATATTGCTGTTACAGAGTGCATATTACGGCTGCGGAGGACAAAAATAACAAATCGGGTGAACAATATATATGGGAGCTATAGCTATATCTGAACCGATTTCGATCAAATTTGGCATCCTTATTTTCAGGCCTAGTTTGGTGCACAATAAAATGCAAATCGGACGAAGATATATATGGGAGCTATATCTAAATTTTTACCGAGTATCTCCAAATTCAATAGGTTTTGTCCTTGGGCCAGACAAATGTTGTTTGGAAACTTTCATCTCAATCAGATAATAAGTGCGACCTGCATTTTGTTCACAAGAATACATAGACAGACGGGCGGACGGAAGGAAGGGCAGACGGACTGACATGCATAAATCAACTCAGAAAGTGATTCTATGGAGATCCTCTAAAGTAACTATGGGTCTATCTCGCCTCCTTCTCCATGTTACAAATAAATGTACAAAGACATAATACCCTTACCTCTATGTGGTGAAGGGTATAAAAACAAGTAAAAAAGCAGTAAGTTCGGCCGGGCCGCACTTTGAATACCCTCCACCATTTGGAACGAATTAGAAAATTTTCAAAAAATAAAATCCATTAAAAATTCTGTTAAAATCTTAAAAATACCTAATATCAGAAGGTGCCGATATATGAGGGGGATATACGATATTGAGGACCTATATAGATAAATCTATGTCTGGGGGTAAAGTACCCACAAGGGACTCCTTGTGTGGAATTTCAGACAATTCCATTGGAAAATGTGGCTAAAATCATCAAAATACCGATTATCGGGGGGTATCGTTATATGGGGGCTATACGACATCGTGGACCGATATAGCCTGTCTTCGAACTTGACCTGCCTGCAGACAAAGAGATATGTGCACAATTTTAGCTTCCTATCTTAATTCGTTTAGACTATAGCGTGATTGCAACAGAGGGACAGACGGACGGAAAGGACTAAATCGTTTTAGAATTTTACGCTGATCAAGAATATATATACTTTGTTGGGTCTAAAATGATTATAAATGATTGCAAACGGAATGACGGACTTAATATACCCTCCATACATGTTTTGCTCGAAAGTGACAATTTTTTGAAAGTTAGATGCTAGATAGCAAATTAAGAAGATTACATTGCTACTGTAGCAATTTCCGATAATCTTTTCGACTTTTTAATATCAAATAATTAGATTTTATGGAGCGTGCTCTGTACAATTCAACAAATTTTCACTACTTGGCCACTGCGTACCTGGTATATTGACGAGGATGTGCAATGATCACATAACGGTTAATGGTTATTAAGGACACGGTGAAAAGGGACACTGCCATAAGGCCATATCTTAACAACGGGAATAAACGACACAACAGGTCCCCATGAATCCATGCTCGTCGTAGAAATGTGGATGCAGCCAAGGGCAAATTGAAACACCCGAACAATAAGTCCGATACTGAGAGGTTTATTATGAACATGGCTGTGGAATTTCGGTTCTGTAAAAATCAAGTTGTTTTAAAATAGTGGAATGGCCATTCAAATTACTCTAGCCCACTCACCTGTTTCCCTCGGGACAGGGCAAATATGGTCAAAATATTACCCGGTATACCAATAACAATGAATAGTATGCAACCTATGGTGGCCGTGTTGAGTAGATCATCCGAATAGCCCGCAAAGAGTTCATTTGTTTCACTCGGTATTTTGTTTGTAAGAGTAGTGTTCGGAGGGGATGGCATCTTTTCTCTGAAATATTTGAAATGAATTATAAGTTAATTTGAAGCTTGAATTGGTTTCCGATTCAACGATTGTTTTTAAATTAGTGGTGCTGCAAGCTAGAGCCAACAGTCTGGCATTATGGATTCCTAAAGATTTAAGGATCTTAATGAGTGCATAAAAATCCCTGGATTACTTCGCTATGCCCTAACATTTAATTTTTGTCTACAGGGTGAGATAAAAAAAAACTACAAACGCCATAAGCTTTACATTTTTTTAAATTTTATTGAAGGAAAGCAAAAAATGCCGGAAATAGCATCAAATTTTAGAATAAGTTCAGATTTGTTCGAATTGGTCACCTTTGGCATAGATTATAGCCTTCAAACGGCCAATGAAACCGTATATGCTGCCCGAATGTTGCTCTGTGGTATTTTGGCCCATTCCCGGCGAAGTGCTTGCTTGAGGTGATCGACACTTTGGAATTTTTTAGTGCCAACCTTGCTTTACAAAATACCCCAGACACAATAGTCCAACGGATTGATATCCTGAGTTTTGCTGGCCATTGTGCGCATCAAATGAAGCGATCAACCTCATTTTGTAACCATTCTTGGGTGGCGCGTTCTCAGTGCGATGTCGCTGAGTCCTGTTGGAATGTCCAAGGTCTGTGGCCAAAATGTTTGCGTGCCCAAGGCTTTAATACAACCTCCAGAATATTTTCGAGATAATATTCGGCATTTATTCTGATGCCACGGTCGATTAATACGAGCGGAGAGCGACCATCGGGTGTTATGGCAGCCCACACCATCACCATGGCCGAGCTTGAGTTCTGGTGACCAACCGAAGGTGCACATTATCAGTAGCCCTCTTTGGCAAGTAAATACGATCAATTTTTTTCTTTACAAACTGCTGGACAACGAATGTTTTCTCATCGGAGAAAACCAAATTCGGCAGTTCACCACTTTCGGCCAAGCGAAGCAGCTATTTAGCTCTTTTGAGTCTATTTTCTTTCTGTTGCAGTGTATGTTCTTGCATTTTTGGAATTTCAATGGCTTTACCCCAAGCTCATTTTTCAATATTTGCCGAATGGAATATTGCGATATATTCAGCTCACGAGCCATTTTTCGGCTACTGCGACGCGGGGTCGATATAGTCGCTTCTTTACTTTTCGAGCTATGTCTGCTGATTTTGCTGTTTTCTTCCGTCCACTTCCTTGACGTCGGGCTACGCTACCAGTATCACGGTAACGAGCGATGGTACGAGTCAGAAAAGATTTATTCACCTTTAAATGCTGGAGGGCTCTAACGATGGCCACTTGTGGTTTTCCAGTCAAAGATAAAGAAACACATTATCGCGCTTGAATTCCATCACGAACAACACTTTTTCTGGAAAATTCTCACCAAAATGCGTTTGCACGCTTGTAAACAATACAATGAGCTGCGACTGGAACAATTTTAACAGTTGTCAGACGAGTGGCTTAGAAATGACAGCAGTCTGAAGTTGGTTGCAGTTTTTTCATCTCACCCTGTATATGGGAGCTATATCCACATCTGATCCGGTTATCACACAGTTATAATCAGAATTCGTCCATAGGTCAAAAAAATGACCTGTGCAAAATCTTATCTAAATCGGATTATAAAAGTGACTTGAATTTTGTTCACAAAAATACATGGACAGACAGGCGGACATCCATAAATCGACTCAGAAAGTGGTTGTATAAGGATCTTCAAAGTTCTATCTCGTCTCCTCCTTCATGTTACAAACAAATATGTAAAGACATAGCACGCTCTACCAAAGTGGGGTGTAGGGTGTAAAAATTGTGCTAGTGTTAGTATAAAAATAATAAAACGAACCAAACAACCGAATTTGTATGTTGATTGAAGTCCAGATTTATACTATGCAATTTTACTGGCGGCAATTTTTATCGTTCTCCTTTAGCAACAAAGCAAAGCAATTATTTTAAGAAATTTTAATTTTCATCATTGCCTTTTCTGTCATGTTTATACCCTCCACCATTGTGTGGAGGGTATATTTAGTTTGTTATTCCGTTTGTAACACCTCGAAATATACATTTTAGACCCTACAAAGTATATATGTTCTTGATCAGCATAAAATTTTATGTCGAATTACCGACGTCCGTCCATCGGTCTGCCTACCCGTCTGGGGGAATCACTCTAGCTTCGGAACAAAATGAAATAGGTTGAAAAAATTTTACTCAAATGTATATTATGTCTGCAGGACTTTTGGTATTGAAAATGGGTCATGTAGGTCCAGGTTTTGGTATAGCCCCATATAAAGATACATCCCGATATTCGGTATTTTGGTGATTTAGGCGACATTATTCACAGGAATTGTTTCAAATTTGGTATTTGAAGTTCGTAATGGGTAGTACTGCCTAAGACAGACAACTGTCTATGCCGGTCCACGTCTTCGTATAGCCCCCATATAACGGTACCTCCCGATATTCGGTATTTTGATGATTTTAGCCGTTTTTTCAAGTTTCGCATTTGAATATCGTAATGGCTTATGAAAGAATTGCCGCTAGAAAACTTGCCTAACATAAATTCGGATTAACAGCCTGCCTTTTGTAACAGTATATTTTCCCATTTGTTCGCAAATTTTATGAGAATAAAACATAATTTGATTTTAAAGCAAAAGTTATTTTCTGTCAGTGACATATGCATGGAAGCTCTTGACATTTTTCCAATTTATTTTAAAATTTTTTATGAATTCTAAATTAATGTCGATCCGATTCTATTTATCGCAAAACCCTATAACTGGAGATTCCTTTTTATTTATTTATTTATTATTTTTTTTTTTTTTTTTTTGAACGAAAATATTATGACAATCTGGAACCCACCGCACCAGATTCAAAATGCCACTACCCATAATTAGAGGAAGCGTTTTATGGGGGTTCTAGATCCATTCACAAGTAAAAGTGATTACCACAGAATGGTGTGTATAAATGGTTATAGGGCTTTAAACGATTACTTCGATAAGCCAGAGATGGTATGGCAAACTTGCAAGTATAGAGGTTTACCTGTTTGGCTTGTAATGTCAGAATTAGTATCAAAACAATAAAAAATCAAACAACTTGTTGCATTTATTTTGAATAAATAATTGAAAACCGCGATGACTGAATGAAAGGTCAACACTTCTTTTCAAAATCATGCTCAATAGAAGAGAAGCTTACAATCTCGTCACTTGGGTAAAAAAATGTTTTTTGTTAGAAGTTATTTTTAAAATAACTTCTGGGGAGAATAACCCAGACAAAAAACAAGGGAACTGATGAGGATTGGTGGCTCTTTCCGAAACCTAGATATTCCCTGCCTTACCCCCTGGTAAACATTACCACGTTCTCCACTAATAAACAAACATTGTTTTTTATAAAAACAATAATAAAGGGATTAAGCCTGACCATTTTAAACAAATGCTAAAAACGTGCGGGGCCGACCATGGGATACCCTACAACACTACAATATGCTCGAAGTCTCCTTGTATCCAAATCCATTTTGGAGGATTTCGTTTCTAAAATAATGTGAAAGAGCCCTGTCTACATGTTACCCTTGGTTATGTTTACGCACTCCGTCGTAGTATTCAAAACAATTTCAAACGAAAGTTGTGGTCCATTTTACAGCTAAATGTAATCCATCAAAAATGCTAGACTTCTTCCCTGTCCTTAACTCTCTTCTGATGCGAAATTCCGTGTCGATTGGTTTTCAATTATGGCCTATAGAGCGACTAAAAAATTAAAAAAAAAACAAGTAAAAAAGCTGTATGTTCGGCCGGGCCGAACTTTGAATACCCTCCATCAATTGGAACAAATTTGGCAATTTTCAAAAAAAAATAAAAACCGTTAAAAATTCTGTTAAAATCTTAAAAATAGCGAATATCTATACGACGACGTGGACCTGCATAGGCAATTTTATCATAAGCTATTACAATATTTAAATGCGAAACTTGAAGAAAAATCTGTTTAGAATGTAGCTAAAATCATCAAAATACCAAATATGGGGAGGTACCGTGGGGGTTATAAAACGTGGACCTGCACAGACAATTTTCTGACATGGGCTGTAGCATCCATTACGAACTTAAAATACCAAATTGGAAACAATTCCGGTAAATAATGTCGGTAAAATCATCAAAATACCGAATATTGGGGGTACCGTTATATGGGGACTATAGGAAGACGTGGAGCTGCCCAGACAACTTTCAGTCATAGGCTGTAGTATTAATTACGAACTTCAAATACCAATAGTTCCGGTAAATAATGTCGCTAAAATCATCAAAATACCGAATATCGGGAGGTGTCGTTATATGGGGGCTATAGAAGACGTCTACCTACATGGCCCATTTTGTATGCTGTAGTATCTATTACGAAATCCAAATACAAATTTTGAAACAATTCCGTTAAATAATGTCCCTAAAATCATCAGAATACCGAATATAGGGGGGTACCGTTATATGGGGGCTATACGAAGACGTGGACCTACAAGGCCCATTTTCAATACCAAAAGTCCTGCAGACGTAATACACATTTGAGTAAAATTTTCGGAAGCTACAGTGATTTCCACAGACGGACAGAATTTTATGCTGATCAAGAATATGTATACTTTGTGGGGTCTAAAATGTATACTTCGAGGTATTATCAAGGGAATGAAAAACTTAATATACCCTCCATACTATGGGGGAGGGTATAACAATTTTTAGTCCATTTTAACCCCTATATGTACATATTAAGAACAATGGGCTTTAATGCTGACCCTAACGATGCGCCATGCAATTTCGTGAGGATCGGACGATAATTGCGACATGCATATAATACCCTCACAGCGTAGTGTTGAGGAGTGCAAAAATTTAGAAAATTTTCAATTCAAAATTGTTGGCCAGAGACCATTCTGAATTGATGGCAATTGTGAAAATCGGCCTAGCGGTTTTTGACTCATAAGCAGAATAAATAACATTTATTTCCTTTACATATATATATATAGTTCCTATTTTGCTATATATCTGATTTCTTGGCTATCAGCATG